ACAGACAGACAGACAGACAGACAGAGACGCAGCAGTACTTTCTATGTATATATCCGTCAAAGAAAATAACTACAGAAAGCATGCCTTTCAATGGGTTCTTTTTTAAAGTCTTTTTCCATTGACTGACTAGACTATCTTGATCCACGTTCCACAAGACAGATATTTACTGACTAATTAAATACATCCTGTTAACAATACGCTACTTACCTCAAGGGTTTAGTTTAGCAGGTGAAAGAGTAAGCAGACTTACATTCAAGCGTGTACCTGGTTTTTAACAGGCTTCAGACAAAACTGCCATTGTGTGGAGAATTGGTTTGGGCGCGTGGCCAGGTCTTTATGAAATCACAACCTAAATAAAAGACGATGAGTAATTTGAGATCACTAACCAACATGTGAATAAATAATACTTGTAATCCTCTAGTAAAATATCCATTTGGATTTCTACAACAAAAGCATCTTTAAATTAATTGACTCAGTTTCCACCAAAATGCATAGAATGTGGTAGGAAATTATTCACATATTTGTTGAGTGAAGTGAGTTTTAAGTTAACTGATAAGATCCTGGCTTGTAAAATTAATTAAGTGAATGGTTGTTTAATGAAAACACATCCTTCTCTTTCAATGTCTGGTCTAAGAAAACTGAGTTTTTGAAATGAGAATCCTTTTTATTTTGTGTACGTAAAGTTAGAGGTGCCCGGTCAAAAAGGGTTCCCTACAACATCACAATTCATATTTGCTTCTTGTACAAGTCGTACAAACCATGTCGGATTTTCTCTATCGAAATCCTAAGAATTAGTTTGAAAAGAACTAAATCTGGATTTAAATGTCAGGATATTGTGTTTATAAACGGCTATTGTTGTGATTTAAAAGGACTTCTGTTTTCGGTTGCAGAGTGAAGCCTTCTTTAAACGCATTCAACAAGGATATATGTTCCGAGACGTTCTTAAGGAGTTTCTCGGCAAAATGTACGATTCATTAAATGATTCTTAGGAATTGATTTGTAGAGTAATAAAGGTTTATAGGTAATCGAGTTTTTCTCAACCGACCAGCACGTGGCCCATACACGTGGTAGACAATAGATTTTACAATGCCACGCGCGGTCACCAACACAGTAATAACAACTAATTGACTTTAAATTATTCACATTGGACTGCCCGAAGTTGTGAGCATTTCAACGTAAATAACGTAGACAAACGGCCACCTGTCTTGACCGGACGAGACGACTGGTCTTGATTGGCCAAGGGCTGTCACGTGGGACCATGATGAGACTGTATGCGTTGGGGATTTGAATGTTGAGCTTTAAATCTTCGCTCCATGACAAACTACAGTCGGTCCGTGACTATGCGGTTGGCAGAGATATCGTTAAGTCGAGATCTCACCATTGGCTCAATAACCATTTCCTTCCCAAGGAGGCTTGGGCTATTATGTGGAGGGTTTTGAACTCGTTCTTGTACCTTTGGATTCTACTCAACTACAAGGCAGGTAATGTATAGTCCAAATAACGGGGAATTTCTGTTTAATCTGACATCTACGGGTATTCTAGTGTTTAGATGTTTACAACTTGCCAGCGATCACTCATCCGTCTTGTACGATTTCCTCGTAGCCGGGTATTACTATCAGAGATTGAAGTCCTACGAGGGACGCACTTGTAAACCTCGGCTTCACAAGAAGGTTTATCACAGGTTCTGTAAAGATGTCACACCCTGCAGAACTATAAAAGACTGCACGGAACACAACGATAGGTGTATTTGTGATGAAGACTGTGGAAATATCTGCTTCGATCCCAGTAAGTACACCTCCATTTTTACACTAGCGTTACTTGCAGACAGTACCTGTAATACTTTTGCACGGCTCGTACTCGATTGATTCCGCATTATGCGTATTAGTCAATACGTCAACACGACTCTAAGTGTGCATATTCTCTTTCTCGGAAGTCCGTGTTTTTGTCCTTAGTGGCATTGATGTAAAAAAGAGTTTGTATCAACCATGCCGTCAATACGTCACTCAAGCCCGACCAAAGCCAAACTTCAGCTTGCCACAGTGTGAGGCTTACATTATAACATAATCAGTGGTTACTGCGGGTGAAACAGTGTATTTGATACTCGTCTGCCATCATTACGAAGAATTATGTTTTGATCGTTCGTACTATTATGCCATTGGTTTTATTTTTTCACTGGTATTATTTATCAAAGAAGATCATTCGGTCAGGGACAGATGTGTTCTGCTAGTGCAGTGTGTACTCTTTGGCCAGCCTTAATCAACGCCAATTGAATGTTTTCTTCCTGTATTGTAAAGATGAGAAGTTTGGTCCTAAAAAGCGTTCAACGCTAAAAACATTGGAGCACGCCGTTCATTTTCAACAAAAGCGACTGAAAAAAGATTATTTTCTCAGTGAGTCGCTTTGATACGACTGAATGATTCAATATTCAAAGCTGGGGTTTTGAATGTTGAAATTAGAACTTCAGTTTGCTTTGATTTGAACTTTAAACAATCCAGTTCGACGTTGAATGTCAATTTTGTACAGCTCTCTTTGACCGTTAAAATCAAACTTCCCTTCCTCTTCAACAATCATCACATTTGATTTTTCAAATATGCTACGAGACGATAAATGTAGAATATCTTTAAACTACAATGTCTATAGTATTGACAAGCTAAAGACTTAATTTTAGGCCTGGTTGTAAAATAACTATTCGAAGAAGACTGCTTAATTTATATTCAGTCATCTTGTTTTTTCGATATGAAATCACTTCCAAGTCACAGATGTGTTGTAATACTTAAGTGATTACTATCACAGATTTAAGTAGTCTATACATGCTTTAGATCTGTGCTGTCTATATCAGAGGTAGGGTATAATTGAGCTAGATGGCCTGGTGGAGACACATTCATAGTCTTTTTCTAGTATTATTTTCTTTTGTTCCTTCGGGATTGACGGTTATACAGTGGATTCTACTTTTGGCACGTGGACCCGCACGCTTCCTAGAATAAACAATTGCACAAAGGCTATTGCAGTCTCTGATTTAAAACGTCTTCAAGCGCTCAGTTCCAAAAAAATAACATTCCGGAAAATTCTTCCACAAGCATACACTACTTCAAATCTCTCAAAAAAGGTTTTTGAATTCTTTTTTCGCAGATTGAGTTACGCCTTATGAGTAAAATTTTCCCTACGCCTCTCTCAACATTACGAGATTATATTTTTATTAATGGAATTCTCAACCCCCTGGGGATGTTTTCATTTTTTATATGCAACTAAAATCTCTTTTAGCTCTCTTATGCAGATTTTCTTCATCAGAGAAAAATATCAAGACTTCTAAGATTTTGATCAATAAACTATAGACTTGTGATCTTTGCATTACATTTAATCGCGTTTAGAATCTTCTAGTCGAGAATCACGGTCTTCCGGATTCTTTTGATTTTACTTTTTTTTAAACTTACTTTCTTACTTTTTATTTGGAATTTTGCTTTGTTGAAAATTTACTAGTGAAGGTTTCGTTATTGCAAACCTTAAAAAAGTTTTTAAAATGTGATTTACCCGCGAAACAATACCTTCGTAATCGGATTTACTGAGAAAGAACTTCCAGTTTTGATTTTCCGTCAAAGTTTGATGAGAAGAGTTACAGCGATTTAATAATTGATAGAATATTTAAAGACTTGAAACTTAAGTGAGAAAATGTAACAACAGCTATTTGGCCTAGGGAAATTTTCGATAATGACTTTCAGATTTTGATGGTTTTAATAGGTTTGGAGCGCTGCTTACTTGAGCATATGTTAGAAAAGCATTTCACGGTGGATCATGAGCATATTACGAATGTAAGGGCCTTTGAAAAGTTATCTTTTTTTCTTCTGGCGACGTGTCAAACGTCATATTTTTTTACCATGTTTGCACAAAACAAAGATCAATAGTTGAGGAGAACAAAAACCATCCAGCTTCTTCTTCAAATACGAATAATTCCAAGTTCAAAAGAGAGTATTGTTTGCCATAGTGATGAAAGGTTTCTTTCTTTTTCATACAAAAAAGTGAATCCATGAATAAGTATAAAATAAGCACAGGTCATAAGTAACTCTATTGGCTCGGCTCTAAGTCGCAGGTGCTAGGGGAAGATAACATACGCGGTTTTGACTTTCCTTTGAGCCTTAGTTGTGGCAATACTGTATACGGGCTGGCTAGCCTTTCGTTTTGAACAATTCAACTTTAATTAGAGATAGATTCAATAAAGGTTTCGCTTTGGGATCCTGCCACATTGATTCGCAAACAAACTGACATCAGAATGGCTTTTGGCGGGCTCCTGGTGTTTTAGGGTGCAATTTTTCACTAACTATCTCAGTTGACGTTTGGAATTAATAAAGTTAAAATTGCTATATTTGAATAGTTTATCAAATGGAATATAAACTCCATGACTAATTTTTACCTTAATTTATTATTATCTAATTGTTAGTCATCGTGACTTTTACCGTTTACAAAATTATGCGTATAAAAATATGCCAGTAAAATTTGAGTTGATTTTATTTGTTACTTCAGAACTGAAATAACTCCATGACTAATTTTTACTGTAGTTTATTATTATCTTATTTTAAATCATCGTGACTTTTACTTTACAAAATTATGCGTCTAAAAATACGCCGGTAAAGATCGAGTTGATGTTATTGCAAATACTTCTTACCTGATTTATTTCGGAAAATTTTTTTTATAAGATAACTTTGAAAATGATAATATGTAAGATGTATGGGTTTTTTTACTGTTTAGGAAGCACTGTTAAACCGGCTTAGTCATAAGACAGGTAATGTTTGCCGATAAATTGTGAAGTCTTCTACAATTAGATACAGGATCACGACGTTTTCGTCATTTTAGGAGCAGTTAAGGCCCGTTTGACACAAGCGATTTTTTTCAGCGTTATCAGTGTGGTGCGATTTTTACAGCAACTTTTTGAGAATATAATAGATTTTTTCTTATGCTTTTAGACCTTTCTCCAGGTAATCTTGGTTTCTGGAATAAAACTTTAGCAGTTAATTCTTGACCCTTTACCATTCTTGGCTATGACCAAAGTCGCCGCAAAAATCGCACCTCAAATCGCTGCAAAAATCGTCCATTTTAACAAGCCTTTAGGCATCACGGCAAGACGGTCGAACTATGAAAATTTTAGTTCAGCCTTCATTTAAGCTCAAGAAAAAAGGTGGTTTACGAATTAGCTTCTAGTAAGAGTAAACAAAGATGTATATAGTGAAAATATGTTAATGATTCGTTCAATTCAAAATGGGAAAAACCTGATTAGAGGTTGTATTATAACGACTCCCAAAGCATTTTCAAAGTCATAGATATATGTAATAACGAAACCCGTGGTTCCAATATTCGTTGCAAAAAGAATTCGGTATTAAAATCTCGCGTTTACTCATTGATGATATATATTGAATTAGATTAGTGTAAAAATCAGTTGTGGTTAAAAATTCTACCTCGGTGACCCCAACGTAAAAAAACTCTTTTTTTTTTTCTTTTTTCTTTTTTCGAGGTTTTCACGGATTTCTGGTCCCTATGTGGTCGGCACTATAGAACTCCATTGGTTTTCAATATTTATAATACGTATAATACTGTTCGAGTTCCTGTTTTATTGTCTTATTCAATTATGGATTTTTATTGTCCTGACTTTTAAATGAAAATATCAGGCACGCAAAAATCGACTGGATAGACAGGGGATAAAAGCTATTGCACTGTGGATTTTGTAGTGCGTTGGAAAAGACCTGAAAAAAATGTAGTTATATTTTATCAACTAAAATTTCTTCGTTTAAATATTATACCAAGCATGATGGTGATAGCCAGGTCGATATTGCACGCTCCATGTAACGGTGATTATAGGCACTTTGAATGGCTTTAGCAATCAAATTATGTCATTAAAGTTCGTTAATTTTAGTGAGTCAATTGTTCTTGATAGCGTTTACTATCGTTGCATTTCGCAGTCTGGAAAGGCTATTTCCGAGCGGATTAGGGGAAAAAACTAGATCTCACATCTGAAAGGATTTGCCGATTTAATCTTAATATTTTGTATCTGATACTGGCTGTAGAGTGTTCTAATAGTAGAAGTACTTCGAGAATGTACTAATTGATGTACAGCAGTTGGGCGACGAGCGACTGAGAAATCGATGGAAATGTTTCGCTACTACATGCAAACCTTTTTCCCATATTTGTTTCTTTTCTTTTTTCTATTTTATTCCATTTTATTCTATTTGACTAAAAATTCTAAATACGAATAGCCGACAAAAAACAAAATATTGTAAGATGTTATTTTATATTCGAATCCAGGGGCGGATCCAGGATTTTTCAAAGGGGGGGTTGAGGTATTTGTTTGGCGGGAAAGTAGCACATGGTTCCCAAACGGAAGTAGGTCTTATGATAATGATTATTTTCTGCAGGCGAGCATGGTTGCACAGGTCCCACACACGGCGTATAGGGAAAAAAAGCGAGCGAAATGTGTTCGGCACCCCTGTTTTAATAAAACTCGCGATGCTGTTGGTGTTGTCATGAAAATAATAATAATAATTATTATTATTATTATTATTATAATGATGATGATGATGATGATAATAAATCACGATGGCTCTAATAGGGGGGGTTGCAACCCCCAAAACCCACCCCTAGATCCGCCACTGGAATCAGTTATTATAGTCAGTTTTTTTAATATTCTGATACACTGTAGCCGCAGCAAGATATTTACATTTAATTAATTAGGAATAAATTCATTCTCGCATGTGATTGGTCAGAACACGATATTTAACATTCCAGACATTTTTTAGGTGTTC